ACTTGAGTTTAAATGTTTTATTCAGTATCACTACAGTGGTGTTGTGATGTACAGTATCTGATAAGTCAGATCAGCAGTGTCCAGTCAGTAGCTGTTACAAGAAGACAACAAGAAGATCATTCAAATTTAAAGATACATTTTTATTGTGGTTTGACTGCTGTATTTTTTAACCCTACTTAACATAAAACTAATTTAATTCAGCTGTGAGGATGGAGAGAAAGAAGAGAAGATGACAGAGGAAGAATCGGGACAGACAGGGGAAAGCAACAGGTTGGTCTAATATTAGGTGGAAGTGAGGGAACAGCTACTTAATCCCAATCGATAATGTTTAAACATTATTTTTAAAAACTGTATTAAGATCTGTAATTTTTACAACTAATTTATAATTCTTTTTGACCATATGACTTAGTGGAGAACGCCACAGACAAGGGGTGAAGGAGACAGACATGAGGTCGGTGATAGAAGAGACAAGTGAGGACATCCGGTAGAAATAATTACATTAGGGAGGCAGCAAAAACATATATACCATAATGATTTGAATTTCTGATCACCATATCTCATTGTGTTATTTTGGTTACTGTAGGGGGGGGGGGCGCCGATCATGTGTTTTTGCATCCACCTCAAAAATATGTAGTTGCGCCCCTGCTTGCTGTTGATATCATAAAACAAAATGTCAACCCTTGTTTTCTTTCTATTTTGTGTCATACTTTTAGAATTATTAGTACCTGAACCATGAGAGACACCTCAACTTTCAACAATTGGCAAAGGCCAAGGCACAATTTTAAAATATAACCCTTCTCTTTCTCAATCTTACAGTGAGAATGACACACAACAAAACATTATAAAGGCACTGTTTACTGACTGGTAAAGGTAAATGCACGAATGAGTTATGGGTTACATTATGCTGCATGGGAAATTTTCATTTTAACACCAGGGAATTAAGGTAAGCCTATATTACTGGGTCAGAGTATCTTTAAAACAGCTCTAATGTGGTGGTTCTGGTCCTCAGTGGTCAGTGGTGTGCAATCTTACCAAAAGATTATGAATACACTAAATAACTGGATCTGGATATTATAGTTAATTAATAGGTCATTCAAATCGAGGGTAAAACCAATTAATGTTTGTTAGTTGGATGATTATATCTTTAACTTTCTTACTCACCAGGGTTTTTAGTCTTTTACATAAAGGTTGTACTCATTTATTGGCTGTCAAGATCCAGTTGCATTCACCAATGTAGTAATTTTGTCAGGCTTGAAACCTTGGACCCAATATTCAAACAGACAGATCAGAATCAGTTCAAACAGTCTTTAATTATAAACTGTATGCGGCTGCTCGTCAGCTGGAGCGGATAAACCCGATCCTCTGTAGAAACAGAAACTCAGGTCAGTGACTAAGAATAAATGGCTGGTAACGACTAAGAGCAATAGTCACTGACCTGGTCCAGAGTTCAGTCGGATCCCAGAGGGATGTGAGGAATCCAAGAAGGAGATTGTCCTCCGTTTGTGACGGGCGCCACCCCTGGAGCTCTGGGTGATGAGCGGAGCTGATGCTAAGCGACGCCGAGGAGAAGCTGTGTCCAGAAGGGACTATCCATGCCGTAGTTGTAACAGAACCAAGTTCATAAACCAGATTATCAGAGAGCCGATGAGGTATGGATGAGGGAATCCAAGCCGTGGTCAGAAAAATAATCCAGGTTTGGTAAGCAAGTTGAATCCAGGAAATAGTCCAGAACAGATCAGACTAATAGAGCAGACAGGGGCAAAGCAAAACTCGGTTTCCACAAGACAGAAACAGGTCACAATCCGGTAATCAGTACTATAATCAAAACGCTAGAGTTACTCTCACCAATCAGCTCGAATAATCTGGCACTGGTAGCTTGAAAACAAATAGTATATATAGGAGGTGGAACCAGGTGGATCAGATAAGCAATGATAAGAAAATGGGCAGAGTTAAACATGTGGCTGGGATGAGCAATCAAGCCAGCCACCAGTGCCAGGACCGTGACAAATTTAGACTATGGATATCAGCAGTTATTAATCACCAACCAAAGAAATCTGTCCCATTTCATTCAGATGTTACTGAAAGGAGGGTGGATCTGACCTGAGTGATAATCATTCACTGCAAAAAATAACCACAAAAGACCATGAGTTAAAATACAATGGTACCTTTATTAGCTAATAATCACACAGTATTAGTGTATCTAATAAATATGCAAAAACTAAACACTGCTGAAAATAAGCACAAATATATAAAAGCAAATAAAAAGGGGAAAGGGGTTTTAAGAGCCCATTCAAGAGTCTCTGAGATATGTTTGAGTTTTAAGGTTTAATGCATTTGAGGTGTCCTTTAAAATAGCTAGAAGATAAAGGTGAATAACTCTGATGCAGAAATATTAAATACAATCAAAACAGTAAAGTTTCACCCAATTTTAAAGTGAAAAATGACTCAGGGATCCATTAAAATGTAGTGACGCTGGAAAGAATAGGTTATTTCAACTGGACAGGATATCGGGTTTCAGGGTGGACTCACAACATGGCTGCTACCATAGGGACAGCAGTGAGATGCAATAACTATGCTAGCCAGTCCAACCATAGTAGGCTAACTCTTCAAATGGAAAAGAGTCATTAAGCAGACAGTAACACACCGCATAGATCGTTCAGTCAGTCTCAGAGATTATTAACACTGAGTTTAGAACTCTTATCAGCATTTGAATAGGAAAGGTTCTTTCAGATAAAACCCAACCAACAGTTGGAGTTAGTTCTGTTTGGATTAATTTGGTTTGGTCAGTTCTTTCCTGGGAAATTCGGCTACGGAAGACAGTCAACTCATCCAAAAGGCAGCTCCCAAAGAGATTTGGATTGTTCTGATGCAAACAAACAGAATGAAACTTTGCAGGCCTTAATTTCGTCACTTGTACGACGGAGTCCTCATTAGGCAAGGGATAGCTTTACAGCAGCGGCTCAGATGGCTCAGAAGCGCAACTACAAACTGGAGCTGAATCAATGGGTCACAGTCCAACGCGTTCACAGTTCAACGCAGCAGCAGAACTGGTGTGTCACGGTTCGGTGGCTTCTAGCTCCTCGGCAGAGCAGCAATGTTCTGTAGATCGGCCACACNAAAAACAAACAACACACAAGGGTACAGTTATTACAATCAATTGTTTATTTTTCTTCATATTTCCTGATAATTTTTTTCTTGTAACACTACCTTAAGCAGACTGTTACAGCACTCAGATTATCTGCCGATGTATTCAGCATGACTCTAGCTGTGTTGGTTTCTTGTGGAAACGTAAACATCTTTCCTGACAGATCTATGAAAACACATGACTTTTAAATAGGGATATCCTACTCTAGTTATTTGGTAAGAAAAGTAATCTGTTAAAGAAACCTAATCATATTTTTCCATAAAAAGTATGCCTATCTTTGGATGTAATGTTCAAAATGGGACATTTAAATGAGAACATATGTGCTTTACCCTGTGGACTTGCAGCACAGGCTGACAGCATCATAAAAAGAAGTAAAAACGGCATCTAGCATCAAATACAATACAAAAAAAAAAAAGTTTTAGTACTTTGATTTACTGTGCTCCTAGCGTTCCAAATTGGAACAGTATGCCTTAAGAGACAGGTAAACAAAGAAAATACTTTAATTAAATTTTGTCAGTTTTGCAACACAAACCATATTGTGATCTTACCTTAAAGCTGGGTTTGGTTCCTTGTGGTCTTAATGAACTGGAGCATTGAGTTTTAAAATGATGTCTCTTCCTCATTCTTGTTATTGTCTGAGGAATTCTCGAACGGAAACCTCCTATTACTGGAAGAAGTGATAAGAACAGTAACACAGCACATTCCTAGCTAAGAGGACACACAGTAACAACTGGGTATTTCAGCTCACACTGGTAATGCATCACTTATTTATTAAGTATCTTTAACCTGGGTGGCTATTCATAGCAACACAATAAGCTAAATATATTAATGCACTTTCTACAATACATTTTTTTATTTATTCATAAAGGTCAAAAATAAACATGTAAAACCTGACAAATGTGTCCATGCTGTTTCTCAAATAAAGTCTCATGGGAATTCTAAACTACCCTATCAGCCTAAATAGAAGGAAAAGAAACATAATGCCATATACACTGAATATTTATTTTAGATCTTGCTAATGGAATGAAATTTACAATGAACTGGTGTGTCACAGTTCGGTGGCTTCTAGCTCCTCGGCAGAGCAGCAATGTTCTGTAGATCGGCCACACGAACTGGGTAGTTTCTCATTTGCTCAGCAGGCAGGTTAAAGAAAAAACTGTTAAATCTGGTTTGAAACACAGGAAAGTCAAAACACTATATTCAGCTCATTGGGAATGTAGGCAGGGTGCAGTCTGATTTGGCCAGCAAACACACACTCTTCCTCGGAACCTTCAGCTGAGAACCGGCGCGTCTCCTCTTTCAAGGCCCGAAAACCACAGGCAAGAGACCATTTGGATGGAGTTTCAGCTTCTTAAGGAAACTCTGTTGCAGGAATTTGATGTCAGGGGAAGTTGCCCCAGCTTCCATCATGGACATTTGATTCTCAAACACAGCATCCATCATAAAGTGGCCAAGGGAAGAAATGATAGTCATGGTCATGGTTCTCAATGCAAGTGGCAAAAAGGCATGGGCCATTAGGTAATTCCCATGCTTTATTAATTAGGATATCAGACATATAATTTAAATGTGCAACACTAATATTTGAGAAATGCAATTTTGATCGCCTTCACTCTGCAGCAATGAGTTCCCAGGTTCTGGTGATGGTAGGTTTGGCTCTTTTCAAAGAATCTGCTCTTTTTGCTCCTAAACAACTCCAATAAAGCTTAAATGAAAATTCCATTGGAAAACTTATCAGCCTTACCTCTCATCCAGTTGCCCTCTGATGTTCCACTACTGCAAGCCTATCAGCCTTGTGCATGCCTAATTCATAGCTTTAAAAGACTGTGGTTCCACCAATAGCTTTCTGCTCCATCAACGGCAACCACGTTTGATTTTAAATACATGCATAAAACATTCAGGCTGGCATCAGACTGAACTCTCTTAACAATTGATATAGTCAAATAATGAGTTTAGAAGATTAAAAAAAAACTAAAATCTTGCCAATGTTATAAAAAAATGTATCCTAAAGAAATCCTCATAAATGTATTTCCTTAAAAGGGAGCTTAGGGCAGTGTATCCCACACATTTTGATTTTGTTCATTTATCCTTAAGGAGCAATTGTTGCTCCAACTTGTCTCTACAAGCTGTAATTCTTAATAGCACCACTGCTTTTGTCAAAGTCAAATATGGTCATTTCAATTTTGCTTTGATTTTTCATAAAAGTGCATTTTGTTTATCATTATACTTAAGAATATACATATCCCTAATTTCTGTTTTAGGAACTTTAACAGAGGATGCAAATGCACTTTTATTTTGTCTTATATTTACCCATAGGGTACTGTTGAATAACTGCTAACTTAATAACTTTCTTTGACACAAACACTCATTTAAATGTTTATAAAACAAGGAGCTCATACTTGAGACACTGTGACTTTAAAAACAGGGTGTGTAAGGCAGTTTGGAATGTGTGCATGTCTTAACATAATACTGGAAGTCTTCAGTACATGCATATTTTTCCTCATTCTTGCTACTTGGTTGATTAACAGTGCTGACAATCAAACTGTCAAACAGGTTTCTTTCAAACCATACCATAATGTGACTGTCAGGTACATTATGGTATGGTTTGTGTGTGCAAATGTGTCAGTTTGTGTGTTCAAATGCAAACACAAACCTGGATATAATCTAGCCACTTTTGAAAAAAAAAAAAAAAAATACAACTCCTTGCTCTTGTTTTGCTTAGAACAACAAGCTTTCATTGCACACAAAATATAAAAGGAAGTCAGCTTCTTTTCAATAAATCATTTAGCAAAATTACACCAAAACCTTTTCATAAAACTGGAAATTGTAAGTTTAACATCTCAGGCAGCGAAGAATAAACATAGTATATAAAGTTATAACAAATTATAAAATGAAGAATTCTGATGAATTAAAAGTGTAAAGACCCTCTTACTTGGTAGTGTATGTGTGAGTTATTCTTCTTTAGTTTTTAATCTGCACAAATCTCAATATTTCACTGTACTCAGGGACGTATTTTTTTTTTATTTACTGCTCACAACCAATGGGCCGAAAAACAAAGGAAATTTTTATTATAACAAGACTTATAAAACTAATGTTTAAAATAAAAACATGTTTATGTGCAGTTGTTCCAAATAATAATTAAAAAAAGCAATATTAATCTCTTGGCCCTCTTTTAAGTTAACAAAGTATTTAAAGTACAAATGGGGAAGTAGACTGAATCTTTTTAGTTGTGCTATCCAATTAAGCCTTTAAAGACAAGTGATTATTGTTTACCTGAGCCTTTGCTCTGCTTAAAAACCTTTACTCATACTTACTGTTTTTGGAAACCAGAAAATACAGGCTAAACCACATTTTTTTAGCCATACCCACGTGACTCTCAGTCATTTAAAACGTGTAGGTAACCCTAGCACCTTTTCAAGAAGGATTTTATGATGAGTCATTTTCCTGGCGTGGGTGGCTGGCTTGATTGCTCATTTCGTTCACATGTTTAACTCTACCCAGTTTCTCATTACCGCTTATCTTATCCACCTGTTTCTAGCTCCTATATATGCTGTTTGTTTTCAGTAGTGATGGTGAGATGAAGCCCCATGAGGCACTGAACCCTTTGGCCAAATTGCTTAAACGATCCCCACAGTTCATGAGGCTCCATGTCAACATGTCACCACCTACTGGTGAAAAGCAGAACTACAGTTAGTAATAAAATCTGATTTTTTGCTATTGTTTTTATTTTTTTCCCCCCTTTTAAGTTCCTTTGAAATTGTTGATGGTTGGTGGGTATATTAAAATCTTGTAAGTTTTTCAAGTGTAAAATTTCTTAAAACAATCATTTAAAGGGGAACACCATTTTGTTTTTACATTGGGCCCTTGATTTTACGTAATTACATCATGTTCTACTCACCCATATTAGTTTTGTGTCATTTGGAGCTGTTCTGAAGATATTCCGTTAGGTTATATCCAAGTAGCGTCTTCCTATGGGCAACGAGTTGAAGGCACAAACTAAACTGTTCATAATATATCATTTATGGCACGCCAGCATTCATAACATGTAGGCGAATAACTGTCCCCCAGACATCCGCGGTTATTTTTTTTTATATTTATATTTAAAAAAAAAAAAGAAGCGTGACGGGCACCCCGGGCCACAGGAGGCTATGCTCTACCCCTTCTATTAATTTGGCTAGCTAATCATTTCGAGAGCATCTGTGGTAGAAGCACTAGACATCTTCCAGGCATGTGAGTAAAACTAGCAGCAGTTCAGCGGACAGGATGAATGAATGGTAGCCTGCGCGCGCGGGTGACCTCATACACACTCCGCTTTGTTTTAAAAAATATATAATTTTTTTTTTAAACTAACAAATATTGTTGTTCCTCCGATAGGATCCCGCCTGTGCAACAAAAATACTTGTGAAAGTGTAAGACACCAACTTGGCCCCGTAAAATGACTGAGCAGGGTCAGTGAATGTTGAAGCACAAAGTGCAAATAAGTTGCCAGCTTGAAGCAGGGTCAATCACGACACACTTCCTCTCCTAATGTGATCTTCTGATTAGCTGCAGAACAGTGTGCAGATCTTCATGGAATGGGATTCTTTGGTTGATAAGCTGTATCACTGCCATAGTCCAATGCAAAATGTCAGATGCAGCGGTGTAAAGCATGCCACCACTGGACACCAGAGCAGTGGAGATGCATTCTCTGTAATGATAAGTCTTGCTTCTCCATCTGAAAATCTGATGGATGAATCTTGGGTTTTTAGGACAACAGTACTTGTCTGACTGTGTGTGCGTCTGATGTATGAACATGACTTGCACGCACAGGGCCCTTACCTCATCCCAAAAGACCCCTTTTGGGATAAAATAGAGCAGAAACTGAGAGGAAAGCCTTGTCACCCAACTTCAGTGTGTCACCTCACATATGCACTTCTGGAAGAATGATCCAAATTCCCATAAATGCACTCCTAAGTGTCCACCTTTTTGCCAGTGTTAAAGCTAAATGCAAAGGATGGACCAAGGTCATAATTAAATTTCATGGATTAGGAAAGGGATGTCACAAACTACCAAACCACTCAATGGCCTCAGCCCCCGTGGTCTACCATGCCTAGGTAATGGGACCTTTCTTATATAAATTCATTCAGGAATGGGGCACTCAGCAGACCCATCCCAATCAGTGCTTACTAAGCTGGGCTCGAATGAAGTTGGCTCTGTTTCAGATAAGGTATCCACTAGATATAATGTCACGTGTTGAGTCGAGGTCAGCTGGCAGTATAATCTATTTGCTACCAGCTGCAGCAGCAAACAACGGATAGACAGCAGAAGAAAAGCTGTGAAATTTCATAGAAAATAAGAAAAATAAATTGGCAGGAGTGAAAGCCCAGTTATGATCCTCTTTTATAGATAAAGTCCCGGCTACTGTGCCGGACATGTAAGTGAATGGAAAATCCTCATCTAAGTTGAATTCTGTCAGATATACATAGATACCAAATAGAAGCCTCTGCTTTGTGGGGGTGACGCATATATATTTTTTTGTTCTTATTTTAGATATTAGCTAACCTACCCATTCAGAATTTTTAAAATTCAGAATTTTAAAAATCAAAAGCAGAACCTAAGTTATTGTTGGTGTTTTTCAGCAGACTTCGCTGAAGAAGGGGGGAAATCAGCTGATCTCCTTATACTATCAGGTAGCCTACTGTATGAGTATTTTTTTTTTAACCAGGAACGATTATATTCATTTAGTTTTATGTTACAAGTATTAGATTTCGGTGATATAAGATATGGGTGTTTTGTACCTATGTTTGAGGTTGGGCGCAAATTACAGTGTGAATGATCAAAATGATCAACACTTTGCAATTATCATCAATAATTGTTAGGATGATTATGTGTGAATATACTGAGACAAAGTGGTTCTCATACTTTGCCAAGATGGACAGAAAATGTACTTTTTATATTTTACAACCTATCGTAACCTGAAGCTGCAAAGTTAAGCACATTTTATGTACCGGTAAGTAAATATGTTCACTGGCAGGATCAGGTGTTTGCTGGCAGCTGCAGCAGCCAAAAACAGATAGATAGCGGTGGAAAAGCACCATATGTTTTTAACAGAAAAATTCAGAGGGGCTGAAAGCTCAGTTGTGTAAGCTCTTATTTTAGAGATAAAATCCGGGCATTGCACTGGACATGAGCATTATATCTGTGATATATCTTGGCAAAACTAGTCCCATATACAGTACATATTGTAAATACCATATAAGCTTCTGCCTTACGGGGTGACCAGGAGCCAAATATAAGTACGTTTGTTTATTTTTCAGACATTGAATAAGGTTCACATTTGAACTTTTGAAACTCAAAACCTTTTCCTGCTGTTTTTCAGGCAGACACATGAAACATTGGGGTCAGGGGGCTTTCTTTTCTCTTCTTTTTTTGCTATCAACCTGTTGCTCCTCTCTTTCTGCACAATTAGACGATTACACGTGACCTCTGCATATATGAATCAGATAGACAATCTGATTTACACACTCACTGCATTGATGCATATCTTTGTATTCTAGATAGACCACTTCCACACATGCATTCACAAACTTGGCAACAGAAACCATAGCACTGAGTGCTGTTTGCAGTGCAAAAACTGTACCTGTCACAAATGTAGAGGGCTCACCTTGGGTTTGTAAATACTACTAAATGGGACAATTGTAGGGTAACATAGTATGCTGTACAGTACATACCATAGCCTATATTTGTCTTAGCACAGATAATGTAGTGGGTATATATTATGTTACATCTTTGGGCTTTATATGTAGTGATTTTCATTGTGGGAAATAAGCGTTATTATGTTATTATTAAGTCATACTGTTTGTCAATTTTTAAGCTGTTTTATGAAAGATAAGATACAATTTGTTTCTACATTTTTGTTTCTTTCACATTGTGAGCTTTGCAATGTAGTTTGGCGATAGCGGTCAAATAGTAAAGGCCAATGTCGTGCTACTCTGTGCCTCGCTGGCTGACAGGAAGTGACCGGAAGTAAGATTTCAGTGAGTGTATCTGGCTCAAATTGCGTCATAAAGATGAAGATGAAAGCTCTTTTATCTGTCCAAATGTATCTCACCAGTGTTGCGCCTCGTTCATCGAATGTAAACTGAGTTTTTTAGCTTGTTAGATCAGACACCACAGGCGTGGTCTGTAGACATCTGTACCTTGATAAAGAGAAACAGAAAATTATGTTTGAGTTTTTAATTTCACTATTTGAATGTTATATCTGATTAATTAATTGGGTTTTTGGATATTTAACAGTGTATTACATCAATAAATTATATAGTTATTTAATGATACTACAAGTAGAAAGTTAATGTCAGGCTGTACACTGGCACAACCCTTACTGACTGACATAAACGCTGAGTTCAAAACCCAGCCTGGAGTCTTTTAGCATGTAGTTTTAAATATAAATAATCATAAAAAAAAAGATTAAAACATAACTGGATTGCAGTTGATATTTCACTCATCTTTTGATTTTTGCCAGAGTTGTGTTTATTCTGATCCCATGGTCACCATGTTTTTTTTACTTGCTATACAGTATGAACTTTAGGGCTGACTTGGCAGAATCTTAGTTTCAGGCTAATCTATCTCTTAATAAAACTGTTTTATGATATCATGTAACAAGTAAGGCAATGTGAGAACAGTTTACACCTGATCAGATTTCACGTGGTAACGAGCTTGCACATGTAGTAATAAAGCTTTTGAACACTAGGCCCATAATTGGAAAGGACAGGAATAAAGTCCCCCTCAGTCCTGCACAAGGTTTTTGCACAAGGCTGTTGTTTCCTTATAGCTCTTTCCCTGGTATCTAATCTTTGAGTTGAAACCTCAGATGGCAAAGGAATTAATTCTTGTGTTATAAAGAACATCTAGGGGTCCAATAAAGTTCAGCTTTTTTGAAAAACAACCTGAGTATAAAAGCCAAGGAGTGATGCCTTTGTCCACAGATCCATACTCAATGACCAAGGTAAGTTATACTTTGAAAACTAGAGAAAATTTCATCAACAAATGCAAAAATAAAATACAATACAATTTTATCTCTGGTTAAGGGAAAGCTGTTTTTCAGAGAAATAATTGAAGTTTGAATAATTATTGTCATGCAATATTTTTTATTTCTGGCTTTTTTGTTGTGTTTATCTTTTAATCAGATGGTGCTTTTGCTCCTGCTGGTGACATCATGTGCAGCGATTACTCAAAGTAAATAATACATATTTTTTGAATTGTCTAAAAAAGGATTAAATTGCTTGCTACAAATAAGGGCTGTTTTCCTGTTCGATGTTTATCATGACATGTTATTTTCCTCTCTTTTAAAATTATAACTGTAAGCAGTGGCGGCTTGCAATTAGAGGGCGCTAGGGAATCTGCCCCACCCACCCAATGACCTAACCTGACTCCGCCAGATGGATTTGCTCCGCATTTCCATCTGGAAACCTTCCGTTGAATAAATTTTGGGAAGGGGCGAAAATACTGGTTAGCTGATTGGCCTATGTTGGTGATAGATGGGCCAAATAAACCAATCAGATCAACAAAGCATATGACGTACTAACAGAGCGACGACGAAAACACAACCACAAGCCAGGCTACTCTTGCCGAAACCAGTCGGGAGAAGAGCAAAAACATCTTTTCCTCTGAGAAACGCCTCCAGAGCAGTGTTTTGCTCTTCTTTCAGTGAAGAAATACTCTGTAATTCCGATAAAACTTGCTCGATAGCCACGCTAGCGCTAGTTTCATCGGCTGAAGCCGCCATGTTCTTTAGACTGAATGGTCGCGCTTCTCGTTAGAAATATATCAAATTATATTTGATGGATGTACAAAATAAATATTTAATCGACTAGTAAAGCATATTTTTATTTTTCGTCAGATTGGTGAGGTATTTCCGCCCTGGTGAGCAAAAATCTTTGCCCATTGACTCTCATTAAAAGTTGTACATGCACAGTACCTCCTCTGCAATACAAAGGTATAGGAGAGATTGGGGCGCAGGAGAGCTGTGCCCTGAGGTGACAGGAAGTGTATTTGCTCACGTTTTGTGGGTGATTGACAGGTCAAGTTGCGGGAGTAAGAGACACATTGGAGAGAGAGGGAGAGAGAGAGAAATTGTGCAAGAAACATTATTTCCAAGGACCTGGTTTAGCTACAAGTCTTGGCTAAGTGCATGGAGCGAGGCTAACACTTTATTCTGCTTTCCTGTATCCTTTTTAAAACGTCAGGATCTGACCCAGCATGGAAAAAGACATAGCTGTATATTGGTTATTTATTCTCCAGGTGAAGAGTTTTATATTGTTAAAACACTTTACAGTACAATGTTTTATTGTTTATATTTTATCTCTTCCCTATTGTGTTATTCTAATACATTTTTCTAAGGTCCACATTTGTATGATCATTTTAAATAATCTTTCTGCTGCTGTAAATTTGTCCATTGTGGGACCATAAAGAGATTTTACTGTATATTCAATTCTATTCTATAAAAGGGTTAGAAAGATATAAGTAAGTCTAAACAATTTATGTATCAAAAATATATCTGCAAAATATCTTATATTCAACAACAAAAAATACTTATTTATAGGTGCTGTAGGAAATCTTTGAAAAAACAGTTCCAGTAAGCTATAGTTTTGAACATACACAACCCCGCCTACCCTTCAGACCACCCCTCAAATTCACGCCTTCAAACACAGTTCCGTCAAATAAATTATCTGTCATGACGGGTCTAATATTTTTTGCCCACATGCAGAAAAACTCACAGAGAGATAGTAAAAGTTAGAAATTTTATTTTCAGTTAAGCAAAAAACAGGAACCGGGTTAACTCAGCTTGGAGGGACCTGTGGCCAGGAATCCAGGTGTGACTGCACATAAGGAGAGAGAGGCCGTTTCTCAATATGCATTCTTGAGCGTTCTCATGTGCTCCTGTACTTGTGAAGTGCATCAGCCTCAGCCCAAGTACTGTTCCAATTGCCGAGAATGCCAGACCGAGAACTCCCCAAATCCCCGGATGTTGTTCTTGCCCCGCCCTCTTTATCGAGTATGCATCAGAGCAGACTTGTCCGTTCTCCAGCTTGACAGCTGTCCCAGAATGCACTGCGGCAGCAGCAGCTTTCAATGGAGGGATCCATTGAAAGTTAAAAGTTCTCTTTTCTGTTGCTGTTGTTCAATAAAAGTACGTTTTAAGATCATTTAAGGTGAGAATATTAAACTTCAAAGCATCACTATATGGTCCATTTACCGATTTAATGCATAATAAAAAAAAAAGATTTCCGAAGTTGAGATGACTGCGACCTCCGAAGCTACTGTACCCTCTCTCGGCATAACCCTGTGTGAAGGACCACTGGCTCTGATGGCAATTTTTTTGTTTTACTTGGCAACATTTTCATTTGATTTGTGTTTATCTGACTGTGTCCATCATCATTCCCCCACTAAATGAAAAAAGTAATAATTTATTATTATCTAGAGACTATTAATATCAGGAGGTGAAATGCAGGTATAAAAGAGCCGTGAAGTCACTAGTACGCTTTTCTGTTCCAATTGACCCATATCTATGCTGCGTGTTCGCATTCTCACCAAATCCATACCTTCCTGTGTTCTTGCCAAGACTAGACTAGATGAGAACGCGAGTCCATGCTCGCATTCTTGTTAATTGAGAAACGGCCAGAGAAAAGGTGAGTTCACAGTTGGTGGGGAAAGATGCGGGAGACTGATGCTCTGTTCTTACTTGAACTAGCTGCCTGAATTGGAGGGTTGTAAGAGGTTCCAGTTTGTGGGGGCCTTGGCTGGTTGAAGGTGGACAAGTCGTTAGAGGGCGGTCAGGTAAGTTTATGGTAGCACAGAGGGGCAGCGGAGCAGACTGTCATCTGGAGACTTTGATGAGGTCAGAGCTCAGATGAGGGGAGTTGTGGAACTCTCGGTCTCTATAGAGGTTTTCTTCCAGGGCTGGAAGGACTTGAAAAATCCCAGAGGATCTGAAGGTTTCCTGCCAAAGATTCACAAGAAACAAAATAGGTAAGATAATGAATTCACTGGTAAAGTTCAGAAATAAACTAAGCAAAAGCTCAGAGGGGCTAGAGTACACAAAACAGGCAAACACTCTGGCGAAGAGGTGATGACAGTCAGCTGCTCATATACTCCTCTGAGGTGATGATGATTCCTTGCAGGTGGGCAAATCCTCCAAGATAGAGTAACCACATGGCACCCTCTGGTGGATAAATGGTGGAACTGGAAAGGAAAACAAATTAACCCCACAAAACAAATTAACCCCCCATCCCCATCATTCCCCACCCCCCCAACCGACCTCCACCGGTGCCGGTCCAGAACAGCCTGAGGGCTGAGGGAATGGAAATCAGTGATAAGGGAGGGGTCCAAAATAAATGTACCAGGCACCCATGAGCGGTCCAACAGGTATTGCCAACCCTGTGACAGAGATGTCCTTTTCATCAGCTGGGAACAGTGGAGGTTGATAGCCTAGCAACCTCAAAAGGGGACAGACCAGCGGCATAGGAAATGTGAGAGTTGTGTGCATACTCTACCCAGGGTAGGTAAATGCTCCAGTTGGATGGGTTGGTCGTGGTCAGACATCTGAGAGTGGCCTCGAACTCCTGGTTCATGTATTGAACTTTGCTATTAGACTGTGGGTGATTGCCAGAGGTGAGTGAAACCTTGGCCTCAAAAGCCAAACAAAAATTTCGAGAGGATGTCCTGAGGATTTCCATGTAACCGAAACACACGTTTAACCAGGAGTTGAGCAGTCTGAAAAGCTGAAGGAAGTTTTCTCAAAGCAATCAGGTGGCAGGCTTAAAAAAAAAAAGATCAATAATGGTCAGAATAGTGGTCATACCTTTGGAGACACGGAGTCCAGTGATGAAATCGATTGAAAGGGCCGTTTAGGAAAGGAATTCATATTAGCTGTAAATTTGCCATTATCCTCAGTTTCCTGCAACATTCTGTGGAACGTTGGTGCCAGAATATTCCAGAGCTCTTTATAAAACTTAGTAGGTAAACCACCTGGATCTTGAGCCCTTTTATTGGGCATGCTTTTTAAAGCTTCCTGAACTTCAACTGTTGTCAGCGGTGAGTCCAAGGTCAATCTTTGACTATCTGATAATGTAAGAAGGGTTATTTTATCCGGAAATTGCTTGATGTCATTGTCTGATTGATTTATCTGCATAAAGATTTATAGAAATCTCGGATATTGTTGTTAATACATTCTGGATCATGTAATGTATTACCATTTGAGATATAATTAATAGATATTTTAATTATTATCAATCTACCTTCGGAATCTATAATTCTGTCTAATATTGTAAAACTGACGTTTTTGTGGATTAAAATTGCTACTCCTCTCTGGCTAGAGTTATAGCAGGCTGCAAATACATTAGCGAACTCAGGCGAGATCACTCACAGTTGTCACCGATTTATGGGTTTATTGCAATAGACAACATCTGCCTTTAATTTTGTAAGCTGTTTAAACATTTTCAACATTCTTTCTGGTGCCAGGTCCATGCACATTCCATTTCACAAACCTTACATTCACCATAGATGTGAGTAAGAAGCTGAAAAGTGCATGCCCCTATAGTTATATAAATAGTTATACATAAACTCAGGTGTCTGGTCCACAGGGAAGAAGCAAATGAATAAGATAAAGGAAGACAGAGAAAAAAGAAAGATGTCTTGTGTACCTAACTTTGACTAACAATCCTACATGCTCTTTAGCTGTGCATATATTTCATTTATCAGAGTGTTCAGTTCTATACACTCTTATCAAGTGTCACATGATTTAAATCCACCTGTTGTGCAACTAATAAAGTCAAGGAGTGATCTTCGGATCCCTGAACAACTGACCATTAATACAAAGTTTGTCAACTGCTACCGTAGCTCTGACACCCTCAGTAATGTATTTTTTCCTGATTGGAAATAGCGCTCGCCTACAATCTAGGATTTCCTTTGGAAACTGGTCATTAATGCTGAATTTGGTTCCTCTCAGCTCTCTGCTCCAACTTCTGAGCTGCTCTTTTTGTTTATAATGTTCAAATTTAGCTACGATTTGTCTGGAATGATTGGAACTTACGGATTGTCACCTCAGAATCCTCCTCCTGCTGCGCCGTGATGCCTGCAAAGACGAGGTTATCTCTCATAATTCGCGACTCAATGTCCAGAATGTATTCTTTCATATTCCTATTTTCACGGACAGCTGGATCATCCCCTCAGCGCTTCGTTCTCTGCAGTAACAGAGGCTAACTGCGCTTCCTCTGACTCTTTCAGGGCTTGAAACTACTTATGTAGGACTTCTACCGAGGCGAGACAGGCGTCCAGGCTGGTTAGGTTTAGCTTTTTGTCGATGGATTACAGGACGTTTCTGTAGCTCTTATTTAAGTAGAAGAAGCACTGGTTGAGCTTTAACAGGATCTAGGCTTGTCTAGGCTTTCCCATTCCGATTTTGTCGAAACACTCTTCCAGGTAGCTCTCCAGGCAAGTCACATCTCCTCTTCCAGTTTGTTTCCTCATAAAATAAGAGATAACTGTTCCTGTTTTAACCTTACTTTGTATAATTTTCAATTATTGGCTTGTACTTACCTGAGTGGATTTGATTTGAACTACACGTATGCTGCCATTTTACGTACGCACAGCTTTCGCAAGATCTCAGCCGCTCATTCCGCCTCCCTTTAGACTGCCTCCTCCTTCTTCATAAATGTATTGGCCAGCCACTGCTTAAATGTTGTTGTTTTTTTTTTAAACTTATAGCAAAAGTTTAGAAAAATTTTACTTTCATCAAATAATTTCAGCCAAGAATTCATCCTTTATAGTTATTGATTTATATGTTTATTCCCATCAATATATGCTAATTTGCAACTCCTTTTTTAAGATCTTTCAGGAAAAATGTTTACCTTCCCACAA